ATTTCAGCATTGATTGTTCTTGTGAGACTGATAAGCTGGGCAATTTTTGTCCTATTAATTGCATATTATGACACTATAGTGACAGTTTTTCCTGTGCCAAACCAAGCCATGCACAGGGGTGCATGCATACTCTACCACTCTAAGCAAAAATTTAAAGATTTAGGTGGATGTTTAGGATTGGCAATATTGACTTTCCAGTAATTGAGGATAAAACAAGGCTTTAACCCTACCTTTGATTGGCTTAGCGAGAAACAAACAGAAAACACTTGCATATTTGGCTGACTGCACTTGGCATGGATCTTGCCACCTGGCAATTAGACATTGTTTATGGCAAAAGAGCACAGTAAAGTATCCTTCTCTTCTTCTTCTTCTTCTTCTTCTTCTTCTTCTTCTTCTTCTTCTTCTTCCTGTACGCCGCGGCGGCGCGCCGAAGCGCGGCGAGCCAGTGATTCGGGCTGATGTACTGAACTCATGTGCTCAAAGTTGGCGCACTGCCATTCTTTGCCAGAGCGTAGAGTTTTTTTTTTTCTTCTTCTTCTTCTTCTTCTTCTTCTTCTTCTTCTTCTTCTTCTTCTTCTTCTTCTTCTTCTTCTTCTTCTTCTTCTTCAACCGTCACCATGTCTGAATACAACTAATGAAACTCTCCTTCCTTGAAGTGTAATGTATAAATTTCTTTTTTTTCCCCTGAAGGTGCCGGATTCATGCATGCTGGTGTGTATGACGCATGCATTGCTGGAGGAGTGGAGTTCATGTCGGACGTACCCATCCGTCATTCAAGGAAGATGCGAGGTCTTATGCTAAAGCTGAACAGGGCCAAGACAATGGGTGAGTGATCTATCTTTTTGGCATGTTAAGCAAGGTTCCTGCTACTGCAGTCTTGATACTGGATCCATTTCAGCATTGATTGTTCTTGTGAGACTGATAAGCTGGGCAATTTTTGTCCTATTAATTGCATATTATGACACTATAGTGACAGTTTTTCCTGTGCCAAACCAAGCCATGCACAGGGGTGCATGCATACTCTACCACTCTAAGCAAAAATTTAAAGATTTAGGTGGATGTTTAGGATTGGCAATATTGACTTTCCAGTAATTGAGGATAAAACAAGGCTTTAACCCTACCTTTGATTGGCTTAGCGAGAAACAAACAGAAAACACTTGCATATTTGGCTGACTGCACTTGGCATGGATCTTGCCACCTGGCAATTAGACATTGTTTATGGCAAAAGAGCACAGTAAAGTATCCAACTTGTATATAGAATTTTCTTTAGCCAAACACAAATAAGGAAATTCCACCTAGTTCTAAAACTCGTTTTCTGTACTACCCTAGTATTACCATTTCTCTCCACTTCGATTTAGCCTACTGAACCCCAAAATGACTGAAGGGAATGTGGTAGGGGCCTAGCTCAGAAAATTGCTAATTAGGATTTCATCCAGATGGAGTAGGTCTGCCTATGTAAATATACCTTGATGAAACATATTCAGAACCTTGAGTAATGAATTGAGTATATGTGGAGTTCTACATTTGCTACATGCTCACTTTATTTACAGGTGCACGTTTAAGTTTGGCTTCCCAGCTGTCTCTGAAGCATTTTATTCCCGAGTTGCCTGCTGTGGCTGAATTTTCAACCAACGAAACCATGGGTCATTCTGCAGATCGTTTGGCTGCTGCTTTTGAGGTAAGATCAGTTGGTGCCAGGTGACGCCGATCTGCATGAAAACAAACCGCTCGAAAACTGGCGTGCAGCCGTATGCCATGGCCTATGGAGAATATTTTTTGTTTTTGTTTTTAGAAATGTTAAATCTTTTCACATTGGTTGTATGCTAGGGCCATATTTTATCATTATCTTTGAAGTGTAGGGGGGGGAACTCCCTCTTATACTTAAGATTAATGTAAAATGTCTGAATTATTTTTAATGCATACATCCCAGACATTAGCTTTTGTTATGGTGTGACTTTTTGTTTATTAATTAAAATGTGTTTAATTTATTCATTTATTAGGGGGGGTATATTTTTGTTTTATCATAGCTACAGCAGAGACTGGTTCATTGGAAAGTTGCTACAATACATAATTATAGAATTTTATTTTATTATAGTTCCTCCCTTTCCTTTTATCTGTTTATTTGTTTAATTATTGTTTTCAAAATATTACTAGAAGTTAGTGAGGGTTATTATCAAATATTTTTTATGTTCGTGAGAGCAGTTTCTTGAACTTCGTCTTCCTAGGCCTACCAAATATTTTACAAGAAAAATTAATGTAGAGATGGTGGGGTGTAACCACCTTGGAGCAATTAAAAAGACCTCTAGTTGTTGATGACTTACTCATTCCACAGGTGTCCCGAGAAGAGCAAGATGAATTTGCCCTCCGCTCGCACACCCTTGCCCACAAAGCCCAGCAAGCTGGACACCTGTCTGACTTGGTGCCATTCAAGGTACCAGGAGTGGATCAGATTGTGGATAAAGACAATGGCATCAGGGTTTCTACTCCAGAACAAATGGCAAAACTCCGACCTGCATTTGTCAAGCCTCATGGCACTATTACTGCAGCAAATGCATCATACCTGGTGGGTGCTATCCTAGCTTACATATTGGGTAGTTTCCGCAAAATACTGTTTGCTTTAGAAAAGCAGATTTTATAGATTTCTTACTCTTAGGTGCATGATGACTTATTTTCCTACTTACCTTTACAATTATTATTTTAAGGTTGTTCAAAGAAAGAGAGAAAAAAAAGAATAACTAAGAATTAATTTTGAGCATTATTACCGACAGTTTACCTTGGTGGCTATTAAAGTTTGTTTACTTTTCATTGCATAATTATATAGGGCCAGGGTGACGGCCTACAAGTAGCCACCTGGCAGAGTGGCCACTCGCGTAAGCCTAATGCCTGGATTTTTTGTGATTTCATTGCAGTGATGCAACTGGTTCCAACTTTTAAAACTTTTTTGTACTCTGTTCAGAACATTGATGGCACCGTCCACTGTAGAATTGTCATTACTTTTGTTTACACATTGATGTGTAATATTATCATTATCAATATGACATTATTTGCACTAATATTAGAAATGAGAATGTCAGGTACACCTAAGGCTTCTTTTCCAATGGTGCCTGTGTGGCACCTATCATGCAGCAGAAATTGAGTAGTCTGTATATATTTTACAATCTGCAAGATGCATTCCTCCAACCTTGGTTATTTTCTTGCATATTTGTACTTGTATTGGGCTTGCTGTCTACCCCAGCCACTCCCATTACGTCACAGGCTTGGGTGGAGATTTGCAGTGTGCCTCCCCTCCAGTCTTGAGACAGATGCAGGGTGATGCAACACCCTAATTGCTACAGGAAAATATGGCACTAGCTATTGATTTCTTGAACACAGAGTACTTCAGGATCCATCTGTGTTTAAACAAAATTAATAAAGTAAAACCACAGTGTACATGTACATGCACTCCTGACATCAGCAAGTAGTTCTGCAGCATTAATAAGAGGCTGTAACTTTCATTGAAATTTTATCCAGGTAGAAGGAAGATTGGCTGTAGCAGTAAGATTCAGTTGTAAACAGTAAAATTGTCAATTTTGAGTGATTTATAGAATAAAGCAAATATATTAAAGCCTTGATACTCAGGGACATCCATAGTTGCTTATCAAAATATTTTATTCCTTAAAAAAGAGTGAGCTCTTCTATTAGTTCAATTTTATATCTAATATTATATGTTATGCATCTAATATTACATGTTATGCATTTCACTTTATATGAAATAGTAAAGTAAAATGTGTGGATTTCATTAGATGTTTGTGTAAGGAATATTATACTACATGAATTGCTTTTTAAGAGTGTACAAACTATATTATTTTTATGACTTTAATGCATTTGTTAAGATAAGTGCTCACTGACAGTATAATAATGAGGTAAAAAATAAGCCAAAGAAGTGTGCAAATGTGTTGTATTCTTTTATACATGAATGTTGAAATTACAATGGTACATCTTCTTGCAGACTGATGGAGCCTCTGCTGCCTTGATCTGTACAGAGGAGAAGGCTAAGGAGATGGGATGGAAGCCAAAGGCCTACCTTCGTGACTTCACCTATGTATCTCAGGACCCCAAAGATCAGCTCCTGCTTGGACCCACCTACGCCACACCAAAGGTAATGGAATGCGAAAAAAGGAGGTTTTTCGTTGAACAGTAAGAATCATCATTATTATTCATAATCAGTCATAATTTCCCCATCCCCCCCTGATGTTCTCATCTATTTTTGATGGGTTTCTTTCTACATCTTGTGTATTGATATTTTATTTGATGAGAAAATAAGGACTGGAATTCAAATCTTCATAATGTATTACCAAAGGTTCTTGAGATGGCTGGCCTGAAACCATCTGACATTGATGTATGGGAAATCCACGAAGCCTTTGCTGGACAGATCTTGGCTAACATGAAGGCCATGGACTCAGACTGGTTTGCCAAGACCTACCAGGGACGCTCAGAAAAGGTGGGGGCTCCTGACATGAGCAAGTTGAACAACTGGGGCGGCTCACTGTCTATTGGACATCCATTTGGTGCCACAGGTGAGTTCTCAAGCATTTGGGAAGTAATTTCTTTGGGAAAGGTCTTAAAGATTTCATTCTTATATACAGTTCAATTTATATTTTCTAATAGTGTTGAATACCACTGATGTATTAAATAATTGCAGGCGTTCGTCTCCTGATGCATGCTGCTCACCGCCTTGTGAAGGAAGATGGCCAGTTTGCCTGCATCACTGCCTGTGCTGCTGGTGGTCAGGTAAGGACATTTGATAGGAAAACAAATGAAAGGGAAAAAAAAACACTTGAAAAAGATACATGGGAGCAATTCCTTTTCTAAACTTTTCAAATATTACTTTTTTTTCAGGGTGTTGGTATGCTGGTGGAGCGTTATCCTAATGCAACTGTGTAAAGCAACTAAGAAATAGTCCACTTCCCACCCAGTGATACATGTTACTGTGGATTGCTGTGCAACTTCTTGTGGGATAT